CACTCTTCACTTGTCGACAGCGACACGCTTGGCTGTTTCTTGCTGCCCCAACTCACTGGCGCACCCATCAGCATGAAGACGTAGCTAGACGTCGACTTGCGATCAGCAACGTCACCGGCCCAGTCTGCATCCGAGTAGCCACGAAAGTCGATCTTCGCACTTGGTTTGTTGCAGACTCCATGCGTCTTGGTGCCTTGTAGGTAGCGAAAGATGCGTTTGACCGCAACCCAGTGCTCTTCTTGAGGGTTCTCCATGAAGCGCGACACAAAGATCACAGCATAGGCGATGTCCGGTCGCGTTGCGGTCGTCAGATGCATCAAAGCATTAACTGCTTCACGGAACGGAACATCGATCTTGCTTGCAGAGTTGCTCGACACCAGTCGAGAGCTGACGTCCACAGGACTTGCCACAGCCTTGCACTCATCCATTCCAAAGCGCTTGAGAATATCGTCGAAATAACGGCGCTGACACATCGTCACGCTGCCATCTTTACCATCCAATAGCTCGATACCAAGGACAAACGCACACTTGCCGCTGTCCGTCATGTTGGACAGACGGCGGCTGTGAAGAAGACACCTCGTCAAGCAGCGTCAAGTGTTGAAACAAGCGGAAAACCAAGCCTCTATATACCGGTTGGTACCGGTATGTACTAGTAAGGGCGAGGTCAGGAAATGACGTCATTGGATGACGTCAGCGGAATGACGTCATTGCATGACGTCAGTGGGTGACGTCACTGGATGACGTCACTGCGAATAATAGGCTTAGAGGTAGTATTCAAAGTTGCGAACTAAGTACCTATTATAAATATATATTCACTTTGTGTTTTGCACCCGGACAAAGAAGTCTAAAGTTCTTCACGTCATCTCGAAGCGTGTCTTGAGGTCGTTCTTGGTGCGCGCAATCAGCTCGAGCGAGCTTCCAGTCACCAAGACATCGTCCACGTAGACCAGCACAAAAAGACAATGGCCTTCCGAAGTCATGATGTAGAGACATGGATCGAATCCTGACGCTTGAAAACCAATCGAGCGTATGAACTCGTCGAAGGTCTCGTTCCAAACACGCGAGGCTTGCTTGAGACCGTAGATCGCCTTGACCAACTCGAGACAGTCGAAATCACCGTCCATCTTGACACCTTCGGGAACGGCGCAGAACACCTTCTCCTTCATCACTCCATACAGTAACGCAGTCACCACATCAAGCTGGTCGAGGGGCCATCCAAAGTTCTTAGCGATGGCGATGACCATTCGCAGCGTCACATACTTGACCACGGGCGAGAATGTCTCCGTGTAGTTAATGCCGTACTTTTGACGAAAGCCCTTGGCCACAAGTCGTGCCTTGTATTTCTCGATTGACCCATCCGCCTTGCGCTTGATCTTGAAGACCCACTTTGTGCCAATGGCGCTTTGTCCGTTGGGTAACTTGGCCGCACGGAAGACACCGCGAAGCTTCATCGAATCGAGCTCCGCATTAATTGCCTTGCGCCAGTGTACTTGGTCCGGGCCACCCACTGCTTCTTCAAATGTCGACGGCTCCGACAGATCCATTGCTGCTTCGACAGCATTTGCACTCGCATGCCAAAACGCGGGGGAAGTCGGTGCGTCATGTTGCTCTTCCGACTTATTTTCTTCATCTTCATTGACTCGACGTGATGCGCGGTCATCCGGCGCGCTTGATTCTTCCAATCCGGGTCGTTGGCGCACTGCTCGGGGCATACTTGCATCTTCATCCTCGTGAGTGGGTTGGGCCTTGCGCTTTCCCGTTTGTTTGAAGTACCTAGGACGCGGATCTTCATCATCCAGCTCGATCGATTCGAAGTCCAGGCCATCAACGTCGTCATCGGCGATCAGCATTGAAAGTCCAAATGCCGACTCATCGAAGTTGACATCGCGACTTATCATCACCTGCCCCGCCTCGATGTCGTAAACTCGATACGCCTTGGACGCTTCTTCGTAGCCCAAAAACAATCCAGCACGCGCCTTGGGATCCCACTTGAGTCGTTTCTCCTTCGGGGTCAAGATGTATGCTTGGCACCCGAAAACACGCATGTGCTTGACACTTGGCTTGGAATTGTAGACAATCTCGAACGGTGTTTTGTGCGAGATCTTGGGTGACGGCAGACGGTTCTTCACATAGACAGCCGTCATAGCCGCTTCAGCCCAGAAGCGCTTGTCCAGCTTGGCATGATGGAGCATGCTGCGACCGATTGTTACGATGATCCGAATCGCGCGTTTAGCAGTTCCGTTGGCTTGATGCGTGTTGGCGTCGGAAGTTGGGGCGGACGAGAGAGTCTGCGCTTGGACAAGCCGAAGAGAAGACACTTGCTCTGAAGAATGGAAATTGGAAAGTGATTGATTATCGGAGCTTATTTGCCTACGCCCTGATTTATATGTGTCCACATATAAATCAGTCGGCGCGTCTAATCACCCTACTCGTCTAATCATCTCTGAGGTAATTACCGACGTAAGAACTATCCCGTAAAAACTACGCTTAAGTTCGGGTTGTATCAGTAACCCTCAATACGCCCCCTCAATCCGAACTCGCACGGATGCCGAGAGCCGTCGTCAAGTCCTTGTGGCGCGGTCCATGTAGTCCCTTCGTCATGATGTCCGCTAACATGGTCGCCGTCTCGCAATACTCAAGCTGCACTTCGCCGCGCTTGACTTCATCACGGATGTGGTGATACTTGATGTCGATATGCTTGGCACGGCCGTGGTTGACTGGGTTCTTCGTCATCTTGATGCACGACTGGTTGTCTTCAAAGATGACAAGCTCTGGACCTTCCTCGTTGGCAGCCGTCAGAACCTCGCATAGCAGGCGATGGATCCACTTGCCTTCTTGGATGGTCAGACTCAGCGCGATGTATTCCGCTTCACTCGTCGATAGCGACACGCTGGACTGTTTCTTGCTTCCCCAGCTGATGGGTGCGCCGAGCAGCATGAACACGTAGCCTGAAGTCGACTTGCGATCCGCGTGGTCGCCAGCCCAGTCCGCGTCGGAGTATCCGCGAAAGTCGATCTTGTCGCTTGGTTGGTAGCAGACCCCGTGCGACTTGGTGCCTTGAAGGTAGCGGAAGATGCGCTTTACTGCAACCCAGTGCTCTTGTTGCGGATTCTCCATGAAGCGCGACACGTAACCCACAGCATACGCTATGTCTGGGCGGGTCGCGGTCATCAGGTGCATCAGAGCACCAACTGCTTCGCGAAACGGAACATCGATCTTGCTTGCAGAGTTGCTAGGCACAAGTGGAGAGCTCAAGTCGACTGGACTAACAGTGGCCTTGCACTCGTCCATACCGAAGCGCTTAAGGATGTCGTCGACATAGCGGCGCTGGCACATGGTGACACTGCCGTCAGGTCCGTCGACCAATTCGATGCCCAGCACAAAAGTGCACTTGCCGCTGTCGGTCATCTCGAAGCGCGTCTTGAGATCGGCCTTTGTCTGCGCGATCAAGTCGAGTGAGCTGCCTGTCACGAGCACATCGTCCACGTAGACCAGCACCAGCACGCAGTGACCGTCGACCATCTTGATGTAGAGACACGGGTCGAATGCCGATACTTGAAATCCGATTGAGCACACGAAGTCGTCGAAAGTCTCGTTCCACACGCGCGACGCTTGCTTGAGACCGTAGATCGCTTTCACCAACTCGAGACAGTCGAAGTCGCCATCCATCTCAACACCTTCTGGGATGTTGCAGAACACCTTTTCTTTCATCACTCCGTACAGGAATGCCGTCACCACGTCAAGTTGGTCG